GTATCCCTACTCTTTCTATATTCTTAATTGCATGGAATATATGTTTCTACCATTTCATTTTTATCCTGTCATTTTTTTTTCTTTTTGCTTCTTTGCTTTGGTAATATCAAAAGTCATGCCTTGAAAATTTGCTGATGGTTTCTTGTGCTTGGTTAAGTCTGCTGTTGATTCCCTCTAGTGAATTTTTCAATTCAGCTATTATATTTTTTCAGTCCCACAATTTGTCTGGTTCTTCATACTTTCTCTTTGTTGATATTTTCATTTTGTTTGTGTACTTTTCCTGATTTCATTTAGTTGTCTAAATGAACATTCTTATAATGAACATTCTTATAATGGCAATTTTTACTTCTTTGGTAATTAATATTTCTACATTTATGGAGGGTTGGTTTCTGGATATTTATTCATTTAAATGTGTCACGTTTCTTTGTCTTATTTTTTATTGAGATTTTGCCATTTGAAGAATCAGCCACCTCTCCCACATTTTATGATCTAGGTTCATATAATAAGAACTTTCTTCACTCAGTCCAGATATAACTTCTAAAGATATCTCAAATCTTTCCTGAAAATGTGCCCTCTCCGGTCTTGTGAGTGTAATCTCGTAATTGAAGAGGTTTGTCAGTTTCTACCCTGATGTCTGTCTTCCATAGTATGGCAACTCTGGTGCTATAATCAACCTTAGTGCTGAAGGTCCACCTAGTTCTGTGGTACCATAGATTTTGGTGTACTTTGTTTTCAGAGACCACCCCCCACCACCACAGGGTAGGTCATAGTTCTGTCAGTGTTTGCATTCAAGCATGATAAATACTGGCCCCTCTGGTAAATCTCACTGAAAGTCAAAACACTGGACCACATTCTACTCCTTTCCCTCTCCAGAAAGAAAACAGGAGCTGTGAATTTGCTCCCAATTAGGCCACATGATGCTGGGGGTAGGGGTTCTGGTGATAGTGCCACAAATCTTTCTATTGGGCTTCAATTTGGTGCATGTATTACTAAATCCACATTTCCGTGAGTGAAGAAAGGTCTAGAGATTCCTATTCTGCCATCTTGTTGATTTCACCCATGCTTTTTTGGTCATTTGTCTTGTAGGATTCTGAATTTCCCCTTTGCTTTTTTCACTTTCATCACCCACAACAAAAGGCCACCTCCCAGTTCAACTCTTTTCTCCCAGAAGTAACGCTTTTCCAAAACTGCCATCTCAAGTCTACGTGATTTTAAGTCATTCTCCGTTAGTCAATACTTTTATATACCAGGGTATTCTTACAGTATTTTCACACCTGGGATGGACATTGTTAGCTCACCCTCAGGCCCTCTGCTCTCCTTTCTCTTGCATCGTTTTCCAGCCCCTCAAAACACCCCTTCTTTTCCAAAGGCTTATAGCAAGAGCTAAAAACATAATTGCTGGAATTTGATGTCCATATATATTTATTTTTATTAACAGGTAATTTGAAAGTTGTAGTGTTCTCTGGTTGCTGAAGGTGTCAGTCATGTGTGGTTTCATTTGTGTTTTGTTATTTTTCTATATAGTTTGTACAGGATGTGTAGAGATTTTGGTGACTTCCATTATCCTTAGGATACTAGGCTCCAAAGTTTTCTTCCTCAGCCAACTCATCTTAGGTACCTTCCATGATATAACACTAAAAGATAGTAGTGTGGCAGGAAAAAGTCTCTAGACTGTCACCACATACAATTTTCACTTTGTAGCAGTGCTGTTGGACATGCTCAACTTCATAAATTTGGTGATCAAATAAAGCCCAATTCATATGGGCAACTCAATGTACTTGGTATCCCATAATATTAAGGCCTAATAACCGGCTAATAGTTATTTCTCAAAAGCAGACTAATTCTTTGCCTAAGACAACATAGCTTTGCATCAAATCCTAGAGGCCTTCACTGTGATTTTCCTTCCAGATTGAACATGCTTCATATCCAGACATCATAGCTAGTGAAAGACATTTCAAATATATTGGACTCACTGACTCAAAAGCAGTGAAGTTCATAGCTCTTTGTAGTGCTATTATCTGAAAGTTTTTGCCCTGGGTTTCTACTTGAAATCCACTAACTTCTGGTGAGTCAGTAAAGAGATCCAGTGCAGCTTTTCCTAATGTGTTTGTTCAGATTATTGTTCACTAGAGCTAGCTCTTCGTTTTGTTTCTGAGAACAATTATGTATCTTTTTACTTAAAATTATTCATTACACTGTCTGAAAGTAAAAGAGACGTCACAGTGTGATCTTATGTACTTCTCTCATAATTGTTTTTTGCATATCCTTCCAGAAATCTGTATGCAAATATAAGCACATACAAATGTTCTTTTCCTCTACCAAAACAGGGAACACTGCATTATACACACATTCCTAAATAACCCTTGCTCTTTTTCACTTAACATTCTCTTTCTCTATCAGGAATAAAGAGTAATTCTCTTCTGTATGGCTTCTTAGTATGTACTGATATATTCTTAACCAGTCCTCTAATGATGGATAGCTTTATACATATATCATTTTCACATACACACATCCAAGTATATCCCAAAACTACTGGACCAAAAGGCTTGTAATTTTGGACAACAGCTGTCGAGTTGCTTCCTATATGAATATCATTTTTTAATCCCAATGGCAACGTATGAGAATACTTGTTTCTTTACAGGCTTGCCAAAAGTTTATCAAACTGAATTTCTGCCAATCTGAACTTTTCATCTGCATTTAGCATGACATAAGCCATCATTTTAATGGTTTGAGGGCCATTTGGCATCTGCCTATTCAGACATTTCATCCACTTTTTTCATGGGTGGTTACTTTTTCTGATATCTAGAAATATTAAGAGATCAGCCCTTTGTAAAACAACATTCAAGTATTGTTCATTTATCATTTGACATTTCTGGTACTTCCTTACCATGCAGACTTTTCTTTTTAAATTGAATTTAGCAATTTTTTCTATTATGCTTTCTACATGTTGTGATCTTAAAGAAGTCTTTCTCTCCCTAAAATCATAAACAAACTAGGGAAGAATGATAGGGTTAATTAAACTTTCTGCATACCTTCTAATCTTTCTGCTTACAAGAGACTTTAAACAAGACAGGTCCTAGCTCCATCATAATAGGTCATAAACTTCCACATTTTAGCCATGATTCTTCGCATGATATTGCACATAAAATTTGATAAAGTCTGTCTTTAGAACTGTTTCCCTGACTAATGAGATCATATGGCTAAGACTTATGAATACCTTGTGATCATCCAAGGAAGCCCTCATTTGGAGCAAATGCCTTATACAGCTTATTCTGTAAGAATTAAAGCAGCAAAATAATTGGTGGCTATGTTCACAACTCAAAATTTTATTCCATATGAAGATTACCTGCTCATCCAGAACATCACAGAAAGGGATAGTGTTTCATATGAATGTACTGATTTCTGTATTTCCAATTAAAGGGAGTAGGGATGAAAAACTACAAAGTACTATATAACTATACCCATGTTATATCACACACTCCATCTGAATGTCTTCCATTTGCCAGGCGTTTTACTGTTAATGTTAAAAGGAATGTGTATTACCACTTTACAGAAGTGAAAAGTATGGCTAACATTAAAAACTGTGTCCAAGTTCAAAGGGCTGTTTCTTAATGGAGTGGGATTTGACTAACAAAGCTTATATGCTTCTCGTCAAATCACCATGGATCTCCAAATGCAATGTGTGGTTGGTAAGCTCAATTGTTTTTCTTGAAAGTGAAAAAGCTATGTGGAAACTTGCAATTATTGTGACGGGCTATTTCAAATATTTCTATGAAAAACAAGTGTGTCTTCTTTTTCTTCTTCCTTGGAGTCTGAGTAACCTCTGTATTCCAAAGTTATTACCAGTCATCAACAAAATAAACACTCATTGTATGCTTGCTGAGTGATATGCACCTGTCAGCCACATGTCTGGCAATTAAGAGCAAAATCTATGCAATTCAAACGGTTGAGTCAGGAGAAAAATACTTAAGCACAGTGTCTATGCCCATTTAAGTTAGAAAATCTAAGGCAGTAAACTGGAAGGTAAGTATTGCATGATTTATATGGACTATTATTTAAAGGTTGAAAAAAACTAACATTAATTTCCATAACTTCTGCTTGAAACTCAGGCTGAGAAAGAAAATATTTGCAAATATTTCAAATTGTTTACAAATCCTATGCCCCATACAGCTCCACAATTAGTTAACAAAGGTTTCCTGAGTTGTCTCAGATATTATAAAACTTATCATTAGAAATCATTACAAATGTATACTAAAATATTTAAGTCAAAATGACTTGAACTCATTAATTATTCATAAGTGAAAGGCGGAAACTTCAGTGGGTTTATTAGCGAAGTATTTCTATTAATCCCTGAAAATAAGTTTTACAAAACAATCATTTCTTCTAAAAAAAACAAAATGGGACACATTTGCAGAACATGCAGGTTTGTTACATAGGTATATGTGTGCCATCGTGGTTTGCTGCACTTACTGACCTGTTCACTAAGATCCCTCTCCTCACCCACCAACCCTCAAAAGGCCTTGATGTGTGTTTCCCTGTGTCCATGTGTTCTCAATGTTCAGCTCCAACTCATGAGAGAGAACATGTGGTGGTTTCCTGTTCCTGTGTTAGTTTGCTGAGGATGATGGCTTCCAGCTTCATCCATGTCCCTGCTAAGGACATGATCTCATTCGTTTTTACAGCTTCACAGTATTCCATAGTGTATATGTATCACATTTTCTTCATCCAGTCTATCATTGATGGGCATTTGGGTTGGTTTCATGTATTTGCTATTGCAAATAGTGCTGCAATAAACATATGTGTGCGTATGTCTTTAAGGCAGAATGATTTACATTCCTTTGGGTATATAAAAAAATTTTCTTTCTTCATCATCCTTGACTTGAGTCTCAGGAAGGCACTGAGCCTATTATTGTATAACTAGTAAGTGAAATTGTTCTCAAGAAAAGCTCAAAGTGATTGTGAAAGCTAAAGTTTTTGTCATTCTAATAAAAACACAATTATTAGAAGCATCATATATTTAATGTCAAAAAAATTGAATTCAAATACAAAAATTAACACATGATTTCAACATTAAAAACCCGTAACACTTGTTATTAAAACAATACAAAGAATACCAAAAACACAAATAAAGTTTAACTATAAAATCCTTAAATACATTAACAGCAAAATTATAATTTGTGTCTAACAATGAAAATATCTACAGTTATTTTCAAGGACCACAATGGTAGACTGCTTTTTCTTTAATACTGCACAAAATTTGTATCTTAATCTTTTTGTCTCATCATTTCTTTCTACATAATGGTTAGATGCTTCTGGTCATATAATTGTTCTAATCTCCAATACAGATAGTGATCCTTGGTAATCAAATCTACTATAACCATTGTCTTCAAGTGCTTTAATATTTGTGAGACGCTATTTAGCAAATTACGCAAAAAATTAACTTAAAATGACTAGGTTCTATTGCCCACTTAGGAATTAGAAGAAAATCCCAAAAGTTTAAAAAGAATAGTAGTTTGCTGTACTTTTATCAAGAAACCACTAACTTTTTAAACTTTGCATTTTTATATATTCTACAACTCCATGTTTTTCTGAATTATAGCTGTTAGGTACTTTTGAATAAATATATTTTTAAAACCAAATGTGCAAACCCGATTCTAAAATGAAACAGTATTTTAATTTGCAAGTTTTCATACTACAAATTTACACAAATTTTCATACTAATGTTTACAATATTTTCTTCAGAAGAATGAGGCCTGATTGGAGATATATAGTCGTTGTCCAACATGGCTGCCATTAGCAAGTGATATTGTTGCTGACAAGGGATAGCTTGGATAAGAATAAGGCCTTGAAGTATAAAGAGGCACGCTGGGAGTCCCAGAAGAGAGGGTAGCACTAACAGGGGAAAGACTATTTATTGAGCTGCGACGGAAATTGTAGTCTGTAAATAAATACATGAACAATTATGCTGCACATCTTTATGGACATAAATTTAATTCAAAGAGACAAAGCATTAAAACAATAATCACATTTTAACATAATGTTCTAACATTGGAAATCTTGATGATACTATATTGCTGGTTAAAGATTATTTCAGCATTCACTGCACTGCAAATCCTGATAGTTTTGTCAGTCAGCGTTAACTTTCCTTATACTGACACAATATTTCAGAGATCTTACCAGAGTAAATTATTGGATATCTACTGTTTCTTGGGGTTTTGATTATAAAAAAAGAGAACCTCTGATTTCTCTTGCTCTACCAAGAAGCTTCTTTTAAATTTGGTTCTAAGGTGTAGCCCATGAAGAAAAGATAAAAAAACAGTGAATTCATATTTGCTTTTTTTTTTTTTTGAAGCTGTATTAAGCAACAAACCAGAAGAAATATGCACCCCTGGACTGCAAAAACATTTGGTATAAACTAGCTGGCCAATATTTCATTATTTGAATATTATTACAAACATTTATCTAACTCAACATACTGATTTAACATTAAAAGTCCTACTGGTATGATAAAACAGTAAAATGAATCATCCTTATTAAATGAACTTCAAAAAACCATTATCAACTTATAGTACAGAAAAATATCCAAAATTAAACCAATTAAAAAATAATTACACTTGAAATACTGCTGTTTCACAATAAACATTCATCTTATGCACCAATAATATCCTGCTTCATTAACTGCAATATTTATATGTATGTATATTACAGACCAAATTTTTAAATCCTGTACCTTCCAAAAACTCAACTATGCTCTTTAGTGCAAAATAAGCTAAGGGTGTGACAATAAAATCATTATTCAGAAACATTATGGTGTTTCTAGGAATGGAAGAAAAGAAATTAGGTCATCTAATGTACAGGTAAGGTTTTTTTTTTCTATAATACTGTCCTGATACTATAAATGATGCCTAAACCATAGGTGCATTAACTTAATGTTGTCATGGGACTTAATGTTTAGCCAACAGGAATGAGATCAACTGCAGGAGAATAAGCTCAAGCAACATCAGAAAGGACCTAGTTCAGAGAAAAAAAAAAAAAGGAAAAATGAAAATCAGTTTAATATAGGTTGAATTTCCAGCATTATAAAACTCTAATTAAAATAATTTTATAACCTTTTTATTTTTATGAATGGTACCATAAGATCAACAAAGCAATTTGTTCCAGGAAGACATAAATAGATTTAAAGTAACTAGTTCCCATTTTCAGTATTTTGAAAAAGAATGAGAAATTACTTTGATACCATTTACTTTTCTAATATCCAAGATAGGATGACTCTAATACTACACAATTTTTTTTCTTTATTTTTCTTTCTTTCTTTCTTTGGAGACAGTGTTTCGCTCTTGTTGCCTAGGCTAGAGTGCAATGGTGCGGTCTCAGCTCACAGCAACCTCTGCCTCCTGGGTTCAAAAGATTCTTTTTTCAGCCTCCCAAGTAGCTGGGATTACAGGAACCCACCATTATACCTGGTTAATTTTTGTATTTTTAGTAGAGACGGGGTTTCACCATGTTGGCCAGGCTGGTCTCCAACTCCTGACCTCAGGTGAATCACCCACCTTGGCCTTCCAAAGTGCTGGGATTACAGGCATGAGCCACCATGGCTGATGTTTTCTTTTTTCTTTTTTAAAGAATCTACTTCACCTGAAGGGTTTGGTACTGAGTAAAAACAGTAACGTTAGTGGGTCTCATGTATTCCCAAATTAACTGCTTTATAAAAAAGCCTGGATTATTTCCTTCTGAAAATAATTATGCAAATGCAGTCAATTCCTTATTAGCCATTTATCTATAATACACCTAGCTCTTCCAATTTTAACACTGTGGTAATCAACAATACAATTTAGAAGAACAGGTTACTGCAAACAGGGAAATGTAGTTTTCAAAGAGAAATCACTTTTCTTTTGAGTTTACATCCACTCAAGAGGTAATACTGCCTATTCATGAAATGTTGACGCTGAAGGTATCTTCAGGTAATGCAGCCTATTCATGAAATATGGACACAGAAGGTATTTTCATGGAAAAATTTCAGAAAGTGGCTAGCCAAGCAGTTGGCTACTAGCAAATTGCTTAGCTTATCTGCATTCCTGATAGTGCCCACTGTAAACCTTGAACTTAAGCCCTTAAAGATATACACTGATCAACCGAGTACTGCATATTTTTAAGGCGATTAAATATAAAATTAAAAGTTGACTATGACTTTATTCATGTAGGATAAATCTAAAGAAAAAAAAAATCCCTCACAAATACTACAAAGATTAGGAAACAAAAGGTTTCAGAAGTTTGTAAAATTTTACAAGCATTTCGAAAATAAATTTTATTACTAAAATCACTAAGAATCTAAATATATTCAGGAAGACATCTAGCTGGTTAGAAAATACGATAAAAACCAAACTTCAATGAATGAAATGTAAGCTGAAAATGCTTAATCAGTGGGATGAACCTAAAAGTACAATGTTTTCCTTGGATTTATTATAACATATAATTTTCATATAGGAAATAAAAAGCAGAAATCCTCACTTACTTTTAGAAAATAATAAATTAATAAATGAGTTAAAATTCCTAGCATATACTTACTTGCCCACCCCTGGTTTTTCTTCCCAATGAACATCCTTATCTCTTCAATCCCACTGTTTCTGCCTCAGACTGGGATCTGTACTTCAGATCCCTTCTTAAGGAATGATACAGAGCCGATTTCAGAATGTGTTTTACACTGTTACTCAACTGCCTTAACACTTTGAATACTGACATACAATTTACAAAAGATAAAATGCATACATCCCATGTTAATTTCAATGAGTTTTGATAACTGTATAAATCTACATAATTGACACCCCAAACAAGATATAAAACATATCGCCCAATCCAGAAGTTTCCTGTGCCCTTTTCCAAACAACAGATCTTTACTTGGAGACAATCACCTTCTGATTTCTATTCCAATAGATTAGTTTTGCCTGTTCTTAGATTTCATGTAATATGTATTAAGTATTTTTATATCTACAATCTTTCTCTCAACATAATTTCAAGTACATTTGAATTTTTAATTTTTACCAGTAAAAACTTAATTACAAAAAGAGGAGGCTTCTCAAAATAATAAAAGCTATTTATGACAAACCAACAGCCAATATCATGTTGAATGGGAAAAATTGGAAGCATTCCCCTTGAAATCTGGCATGAGACAAGGATGCCCTCTCTCACCACTCCTATATAATATAGTATTGGAAGTTCTAGACAGAGCAATCAGGCAAGAAAAAGAAATAAAGTGTATTCTATTAGGAAAGGAAGAAGTCAAACTGTCTGTATTCGCAGATGACATGACTGTGTATTTAAAAGACCCCATCGTCTCAGCCCAAAATCTCCTGAAACTGATAAGCAACTTCAGCAAAGTCTCAGGATACAAAATCAATGTGCAAAAATCACAAGCATTCCTATACACCAATAACAGACTTAAAGAGAGCCACATCAAGAATGAACTGCCATTCACAATTGCTACAAAGAGAATAAAATACCTTGGAATACAACTAACAAAGAACGTAAAGGACCTCTTCAAGGAGAAGTACAAATCACTGCTCAATGAAATAAGAGAGGACACAAACAGATGGAGAAACATTCCATGCTCATGGTTAGGAAGAATCAATATCGTGAAAATGGCCATACTGCCCAAATTAATTTATAGATTCAACACTATCCCCCATCAAGCTACCAAAGACCTTCTTCACAGAACTGGAAAAAAACACCTTAAACTTCATATAGAACCAAAAGAGAGCCCGCATAGCCAAGTCAATTCTAAGCAAAATGAACAAAGCTGAAGGCATCACATTACCAGACTTCAAACAATACTACAAGGCTACAGAAATCAAAACAGCATGGTACGGGTACCAAAACAGAGATACAGACCAATGGAACAGAACAGATGCCTCAGCGGCAACACAACATATCTACAACCATCTGATCTTTGACAAACCTGACAGAAACAGGCAATGGGGAAAGGATTCCAATAAACGGTGTTGGGAAAACTGGCTAGCCATGTGCAGAAAGCAGAAACTGAACCCCTTCCTGACACCTTAGACTAAAATTAACTCCAGATGGATTAAAGACTTAAACATAAGACCTAACACCACAAAAACCCTAGAAGAAAATCTAGGCAAAACCATTCAGGACATAGGTATAGGCAAGGACTTCATGACCAAAACACCAAAAGCATTGGCAACAAAAGCCAAAATAAACAAATGGGACCTAATCAAACTCCACAGCTTCTGCATGGCAAAAGAAACAATCATTAGAGTGAATCGGCAACCCAAAGAATGGGAAAAAATTTTTGCAATCTACCCATCTGACAAAGGGCTAATATCCAAAATCTACAAAGAACTAAAACAGATTTATAAGAAAAAAACAAGCCCATTCAAAAGTGGGCAAAGGATATGAACAGACACTTCACAAAAGACATACATGAGGCCAACAAACATATGAAAAAATGCTCATCATCACTGGTCATTAGAGAAATGCAAATCAAAACTACATTGAGATGCCATCTCACGCCAGTTAGAATGGCGATCATTAAAAAATCTGGAGACAACAGATGCTGGAGAGGATGTGAAGAAATAGGAACACTTTTACACTGTTGGTGGGAGTGTAAATTAGTTCAACCATTGTGGAAGACAGTGTGGCAATTCCTCAAGGACCTAGAAATAGAAATTACATTTGACCCAGCAATCCCATTACTGGGTATATATACAAAGGATTATAAATCATTCTGCTATAAGGACACATGTACACCAATGTTCATTGCAGTACTGTTTACAATAGCAAAGACCTGGAACCAACCCAAATGCCCATCGATGATAGACTGGACAGGGAAAATGTGGCACATATACACCATAGAATACTATGCAGCCATCAAAAACGATGAGTTCGTGTCCTTTGTAGGGACACAGTTGAACCTGGGAACCA